CACCTGCAGCCCTTCCATGGAGCCGCTCCTGACCTCGTGGACTATCGTCTCCATCTTGGTGCCGTTGAACATCGGTTTGCCCAAGCTGTCGAACTGAACTGCCAGTGAGAGGATCGCCCGTTCCAGGTGCTTCATGTATAGCGCATGGCATTTTGCTGGCTCTGAGACCGAAGCTGCCGCACTGAGTTGCTTGACCAGCCTGCCGGGAGAAAGCCGCAACCTCGTCACAGGGCTTACCTTTCTGGAAGTCTCAGTACGCTGGAAGTCCTTGAGGCTGATCTCTACCCGCTTGAGCCCGTCCGCCCTGCCACGGTACTTGGGGCCGTCACTGAGACCCAGCATGCCAATCAGGTGGGTCTCCGCTTTGTCGAAGAACTCTCGCACTGCCTCGCCAGGCCCCACTCCTGGAGCGGGCAGGGCCGCCTGCCAGACTATGTCCTGGGCGTCTTCCACTGCCTTCTGCTGGTCCTCGTCCGAGATGTGCGTCGACAGGTCGAAACGCTTGGGGCCTCGCAATACCCAGACCTTGGCATGGGCCCCCAGCTTGCTGAACGTAAGACGCACTGGAGCATGGGGGTGTGTAGACGTTGGCCGAAGCACTTCTGCCGTTGGGCTAAGAGCCGCAAGGGAGGCCGATATCACGAAGTAGTCGTATACTCGATCGTTCCCCGAGGTCACTGAGCAGGTAGGAAACTTGGGCGCCACGACTGCCCCGCCCACCGAACGCGGCCACCACGAGCTCTCCAACAGCTGCGGCTCCATGTTCCAGTCAGCTGCCACAATAAAGGGCTCGCACTGAGAGTTGAGGAAGACCTGCAGCTCGCTCAGCAGCTCCACGTTTGTGCCCGTCATCTTGGCGGAGTGCTCCAGGTAGGCACTGACCACGATCACCATCAAGTCCCCGAATACCACCCTGCGAGCGAGAAGCCGCGAGCTGAAAGGACCCCAGTCATGGTCCACGGGTGCTGATCCTCTGTGTGCCGCCACAAGACAGCCAACCCCCGATGACACCGACTGGGCCGAGCTTCCCGTTCTCCTGCATGGGCTGAATGAAGCGTTAAGGCCGTTGCGAGTGCCCCATCCGATGGCCTCGCTCTCCTTCTCCTTCCCCGTGAAGCGCGTCTCCTGGATGAGGTAGACATCGTCCTTCAAGCCAGAGTCCGAGAGGCGCTCAAGCTCCGTCTGCGCCTCCTTCCATGTCGTGCCATTCAGAGAGATGAAGGACGCTGGGCTAGCCACCGGCGGCGCCACCAGCTTGGCCAAGCAGAGCGTTAGCGGCCCCTCCCTCTGCGGCAAGACGTCCCCCTTGGTGTTCTGCAGCTCTGGGACAGATCGGAGGCCCAGGGTGTCCACCGTGACCCTGGTGTTGAGAAAGCTTCTTGAGTCCCAGCTTGGACTGTCTGCAAAACCCACGACCCCCCCGACAGGCGAGGGTCTTGATCCAGCGGGTGGCGACTGAGCCTGGCCCGAGCTCGAGGAGCACTCGGGACTAGGTCTTACCTTGCTCTGGCGTGTTTGTCCAGGGATGCGTTCTAACACAGCAGTCCGCGAAACCGAAGAGGCTCCCTTTGCTGACCAGGGCGAACCAAGGCTGGCTTGCTCCACGTGCAGGTTGGCTTGGCTGGGGCAGGCCCTGCCGCCAGGAGGCTGCTGCGAGGGCGCGTGCGACAGCATGAGCAGCTTCGCCGTCAGGTTGTCGACGTAGTCCATCGCCTGGTCGTCATCAGGGTCAGGCCGACGAGTCGGGTCCGACTCCATTCCCCCACCAGGCCTCTGAGGCGGCACTGGGTATCCAGGAGCTCTGTCCCCAAGTAGTCGGCGAAACATGGCCCTGATCTGCGCCAGTTGCCTCCAGCGCGCGTGCTCAAGTCGCCACCGATCCAGAGGCTGGGCACTGTTGAGCCTGACCAGAAAGGCAATGCGGCGGGGCTCTGACTGCCTCCAGCCGCTGAGGCACAGCTCGTCCAGGATATTGTCCAAGTGCCAGCCTGGGAACCCGATCCTCAGTAGGCGCCTGAGCGGCTCGTTCCCGCCGTCCGCGAGCATCGCGCCCAGGAAAGCCTTGCACCAGCGCCTCCAGTGCCCGCTGTCTGTCTCCAGCTCCGTGTGAGAGTCAAACCAGGCGGCAGCCCAGTCCCTGAGGTCAGCCCTCATGTCGTTGAAGTCCTGGATGGCCTGCCACTCAGGATCTGCAGCATCGGGTGGGAGCCCCATAGCCGCAGGCCTCTGCCCCAAGGGCTCGGGCAGGACTGCCTCGGGCACGGCGCGCAGCTGCTTGCAGCACTGCCTTCCGATCAACGTTGTCCCTTTTGTCTGGGCGGGCCAGGGCAGGGGCCCGAAACCCCCCGACTTGAGGCCAGTCGAGGTCCACGGACTTGTTGCTCCAGAAACGATCCGCTGGTCGAAGAGATCCAGCTGCCTCGGCCAAGGGCGTCCGCCGATCACCCTCAGCCTCTGCGTCAACTGGGTCTGCCCCCTCAGGCAGAGTCCGCCTGAGGGGGCGGCGGGCGACAGATCCTGGCCGCCGTCTGCTCGAAGTTGTCTCTGGATGACTCCTCCTCCTTGGGCGACTGCTTGGCTGCGGAGGGAGGCGACGGCGTCGTCGCGTCGGGGTCCACTGCCTCGCCGTCCTTGCCTCTCGGAGCTGATCCTGCAGCGGCCGCCCCTGCTGAGCCGGGGTCTTCAGGGCCTGAACCCTGTCGCCGCCTCTTCCCAGCCAGCCGTAGAGCCATGGCTTCCTGCTCCTCCTTGAAGAGTTTGGCCTTCTCTGCCGCCTGCCCGAACATTTGCTTGACGGCGTTGGACAGCTCGCTCTTGAGGCGGGCGCTGCGATCTGCCAGCTCCTTCTTGTCATTTGCATCCATCTCGTATTCCTCGTCGTCGAACCCAAGGCCAGCAAACGAAAGAGGAATTTCCTCGACGGAGCCGTCCAGGATGCCAGCCACACTGATGGGGGCCACTGACTGAGTTGAGTCCTGGCTGATGTCGACCACCTGACGATTGAGCTCAACCACCAGCTTGCGGTGCTCAGCCTTCTTTGACTCCATGTCCTCGCAAAGAGATTGGACCCACCGCCTCTGGCTCTCGAGGCCCTCCTCGAGCCGCTCGAAGTGCAGCACCGCCTTCTCCAGCTTCTGCGCGATGTCCTGCACCTGCTTGTGGGCCTGCGTGACTCTCTGCGACAATGGCGGCACATAGAGCGCCTCCTGCTGGAGTCGTCGCCGTTCTTGAAGGGTGCGCCTGTGCCTCGCGAGGCTGACCGTGTCGCCCAGCTTCTCCAGCGTGGCCACCAGCTGCTCCAGCTCGTGGAACTCAAGCTCCACCGAGGGTCCCTCCTGGGCCACCAGGAACTGTGCACCAGGTGCTCGAGGAAACTTGGCTGGGTCACCGCCTGCTGCTCCCTCAACACGGCCCCCTTTACCACCTTTGCCGCCGTCACCTTTGCCCGAGTCCTTGTCTTTCTTGCCCTTCTTGCCGCCTTTGCCGTCTTTGCCATCGGCATCCCCGTGCTGTCTACGCTGCTCGCTCCAGACCCCAGCGGGTTCGGCAGCGACGGCTGGGCTGATGTCCGAGAGCTTATGGCCGCAGGCTTTGCAGAACTTGCTGCCCTTGGAGTTCTTCTTGCAACCGCACTTACTGCACCACGGCCCTCCTCCAGATTGCCCCACCTGGTGCCAGCCCTCGAGGTCGTCGTCGGAGCCGATGTCTCGCCATGCCTGCCACTGCTGCTTCTGTTGACCTCCCCAGGGTGGGGACACGAACTTGGTCGGCAGCTTCCACCACGGAGGTCGCACGGCCGCTGGAGCAGGAGCCATGGGGCGAGCACCAGGAGGCAAATCTTGGACGTCGTTACAGGGCACGGTGCTCCTCACGGGAGCTGCTCCGACAGGAGCTCACACAAGTATGTCTGCAGCCAACCTGGCCGCAGGATCGCGGGCGGGGGCGCGCCTCCCCCACGCCAGGTGACTTCAAGCCCTTGTGCCAGAAACGGCTACGGACTTGAGCCAAAATGGCTACGGACCGGTGAGGGCATTGGATAATGAATCATTGGATAAGGAACCTACGGTCTGGAAACCTGTGGAACAGTAGTTGAGGCTTAGCCATGCATACCACCACCACCCTCAGCAGATAAGGGATACTCCAGGCACTGAAGCCTCCTGGGCACATTCCTTAACGATAGTCCCCACCGTATCTGGCAAGCGTCGGCTGCAAACCACTCCTAAAATATGAATGAGCTCCCGCGTCATGGAAACGTTCGTGGGCCGATCATTGAAACTTTGATACTCGCCTGCCGTCCTCACTACAAGCTTCATTAGCTTGGCCGGTGGTCGCACAGACTCCCTGCGCCAACAAATCAACAACGGAACCAGCAACACAAACAGCGGAACTGAGCTCATCAGCAGTCGTCTATCTTGCCGATGGACGTGACTACGCAACGTGCATTTTGCGGTCGTGCGGTGGCAAATCCAGGTTGGCCGTTGCACACGTGTACCAATGTGTCACGTTCAGTTGGGTCGCAGCACCACCTAAGTTCCAATCAGCATCCCAACTGCCAGAGCATGGGCAATTTCATTGTGCTGGATATTACACTTAAGCATGGCAGATTCGACGGCGAGAGGCGGCTGCATGGGGCGTGCACAACTGTCAGTCCTTTCTGCCGCGGCCCATTGTGGCCGTGATAATGATAAAATGCATACTCCTAGCTGCATGTGCTGGGCACTGCAAAAGGCGATACTTGGCGCGGCAGGCTTGAGCGTCCTCGAACCACTCTGAGCACTCGAACCAGAAGATGGGAGGCAGGACGGCGAAGACAGGATAGAGGAGGAAGAAACAATAAGTGAGGAGGTGGGAAGGCGAGAGGAGAGAGGTAAGAGGGGGAGGGCGGAGAGAGGAGGGATAAGGTTAAAGCGGGGGGGAGGGAGAAGGGAAGAGGATGCGAAGAGGGAGACGAGGCAGGGAAGGGGGAGAAGAAGAGAGCGGGGGGCAAGTGGGAGAAGGTCCTGCCCCCCGTCCCGGGACAGAATGTACTTGTGCCAGTCGCCACCAGTGGTCTGCAGGCTGATCGTGCACGGAACTGCGTTGTCTATCGTGACCTCGTCGGGCACTGGCACTAGTCGGGGTCAGCGCAAACCCAGCTCAACCACTTTAGGAGAACCTGCGACGCTTTTTTGGAAGGAAAAACGGCTCGGCCAATACGTAAGGCCACCTCTGGGCCGCGAGCGGCGCCCCAAACCCGGCTCAGCCAAACTCAGGCTCTGCAGGGTCCTGCAGGATCCTGCGTTCTGGCCGAGCCCCGTTTGCGCTGAACCCTGTTACAGTCGGGCTGCTGAAATCACGAACGCTGGATAAGGAACGGGGCTCATTTTGAGCGCGTATCTTTATGTTCGGCGATGACGGGCGTCATGGGGGAGGGGGAGGGGGCGGGGGGGGGGGTATGACGTGACGCCCCCCCCGCCGTGTGGCTCCGGCATCACAGCCGCGCCCGCGCGCACGACGCGACGAGCGACGAGCGGCGACGACGACGACGACGACGACGACGACGCGAGCAGCATGTATGTGGCGATCTGCCCAAGCGTGCCTGTGTACACGACAACGCTCGCGTGCACCACAGCGCGGGTGTACACCACAGCGCCTGCGTACACCGCAACCACTGTGTGCAACGCAGCGCCTGTGCACACCACGGTGCTTGCGTACACTGCAGCGCCTGTGTACATGTGTACACCGCAGCAACCATGTGCAACACAGCGCCTGTGTACACTACAATGCTTACGTGCACCGCGGCGCCTGTGCACGCCACAGCGCTTGTCTACACCACAGCATCCGCGTGCAACGCAGCGCTGGTGTACACCACAGTGCCTGCGTGCATCGGACAGGTAGAGGGAGCATGTACGTGAGGATGTGCTGCGGACAACTAAGCGCCACGCCAGGACAGTGCTGATGATCGAATGCGACGTTTCTCCCTCCTCCCTCCTCCTCCACCTCCACTTTCTCCTTTTCTTCCTCCTCCTCCTCCTCCTTACCCCCCGTCGTGCGGGTTGGCGCTGCAGCGCACGTGCGCATCTCAGCGTGCACTGCAAACTTTTCCATTGAATCGGTCCGCTTGGTTCTCGGACGGCCAATTTAGCTAGAGCCTCCTGTACGCAGATGGGAGGCTTTAGGGTGATGCGGGCGGACTCCGAAGGACTCGTAGATTCCAGCGGCGCTTCTTAGTCCATAAGGATTCCGTTATATTGCTTATTTGTGGAATCCACAAGCGCTCCATTTTGTCATGCGGGTTCCTTCTAATATTCTATATGCAACAGTGGTGCTGTTTTGCACACGGTTGCTCTGGTGCACATAGGTGCCGTGGTGTACATAGGCACTGCAATGCACGCAGGCATTGTGGTGTACAGCAGTGCTGTGTTGCACACGGCTGCTGTGGTGTACGCAGGCGCTGTGGGGTACACGAGAGCTGTTGCGCCCGCAAGCACGGTGGCACAGACTGACGCGGTGTTGCACGCGGCGGATGTGGTGCACATAGGCGGTGTGGTGTACACAGACGGTGTGTTGTACGCGGGCGCTGTGGTGCACACAGGCGTTGCGGTGCAAGTCGCCACCAACACGCTGGAGCCACCCGTCCTCCACCATTCTTAGGTAATCCTGGGCGCCGCCGGCGCGAAGCGTAACGTCATCGACCCCCTCCCCCCCAGATAATTGCCGTCATCGGCCCGGCTTAAAACAAACAGGCGCTAGCCGCGTCCGCGCGCACGACGACGATGAGCGACGAGCGACGAGCCGCGAGCGACGACGACGACGACGACGACGACGACGACGACGACGACGACGACGACGACGACGACGACGACGACTGCGGACCAGACTCCTATGCGGATTCTTACGCAGACACCTGCGCGGATCCCAATGCGCACGGCGGCAGTGCCTGGAGCGCACTAGGGGGGAGCGTTGCATCATAGAGGGGGGGGGCGCGGGCCATGACGCCCGTCATGCCCCAAGCAGTGAAACGGGCTCTTTGACACCAGAAGAGCCTGACATTACGAGGAGGGCATGGGGAACAATCACGGAATGGTCATGTCTAGCGGCTGGACGCGATAAACATGTACGGTGGTCAATACATTCGTTGCTCACGCAAGCCCCTGCGCAAGCACAAGCGTCACGATACCCATCCGAATGACGGCGTCAGGGCCCCAACTTGATGGGAATGCCCCCCCCCCCCCCCAAAGTCCCTATTGCAACCTCTCGGAGGGGGACGCCCCTCGAAGCGCCAAGCCGCAAAATGAATCAGGCAAATCTATGTGTGCTTCCGGAGCTCCGAAAGTTTATGTGGATGCTGTTTTGTCTTGTTCGACTCTCGGATCCACGAAATCAGCGCGGAGCTCCGAAAGTGAATGTGAATTTTGCATTTTTTCGTCCGATTCTCGGACCTGCACTGGCCCCCCCTTGGCGGCGCCTCAGGCGCCGCCCCTGGCGCGCTCCGCGCGCCAGGGAGGGGGTCCAGCGCCGATCCACGAAATCAGTGCGGAGCTCCGAAAGCACACGTTTTAGCCGCGCTCCACGAACCTCTGCAAAGCGAATCCAGCCGTGGCGACGGGGGAAAGGTAGCCGCAATGGTCCCTTATCCTCCTCCGACCCCCCTCGCGCCACCCGCTGCCACACCCACCAGCAAACACAACACCGCGCCAGAGGGAGTCCGGCCTTTCGGAATCCCCCCCCCCACCACCACGGTCACGGTCTTCACCCTGCCGCCGAAGCGGGTGGGGCCTGGTTCGGGGACCTTGGCGGCTTCTGTGGCAACTCGTCGGAGTCTCACATGTCATCTTACGGGCCCTTGCGAATCGACGCTCGCCGACGCTCATTGACGCTGATAGACGCTCGTCGACGCTAAATCGACGTTCATCGACGCTGTATCGGAGTGGATCAACGCTACCCGACGCTAAATCGACGCGAATGCACTCTGGAGACGAAACTTTGAGGACATACAAGTTGCAAGGATCCCATGAGTCGGCCAGGCTGAGGGGCAACGTTACGCGGGGACCGGCTCAGGGGGGTAAACATCGACCTGGAATCGGCGATGCATCGCCGAAATGCCGGCGACGGGCCCCCGATGGCGAAACCGTACGGTCCTGGGCGGGCTATCGGGCCCTTATCGGCGATGACTGGTCGATTGGGGGACGTTGCCCCGGGCTTTCGGGCCAGAACTCGGCTCTCCGGCGGCCGTTCGGGACGATCCGGACAACCCCGGAACGCCTCGGCGAGGCGCAGCCGCTGGAAGGCACTCCGAGGACGGAGAACCGCCGCGAATCGACGAAAACGTCAGAAAACCTGCACATCGATCGACCCCTGAGCCTATCCCCGCCCAAGGTTGCCCCTGACGGGCGGGCCTATCACCACTTTTGCGAGTGCCAGGTGGCCTTGTGGTCCGCGGACGTGACAAACGTGCAGGGCTTCAGCTGGCTTCTGCGGTCGGAGGCCTTCGGGGGGGGGGGGGGCGGGGGCAGGTCTGCAGTGACAGGCGAACTCGTGGCAGCGGGACTAGGATTTGGATCCCTCGAAAGGGAGCACATGGCCCATAGCCCACGTGAGGAGATGAGTGAGGACGACGACGGCGGCGAGCAGCAGACATCACTTTTCTGAAGGCATGCCTTCAGCGAGAAAAATGTTTCTTCAGTGAGCACATTGCAAAAGTACATTCAATGAACAAGTTCTGCCTTCAGTGAAACATGTTTGCCTTCAGTGAAAATTCATGGCTCTAGTGAGCACGGAACAGTAAGACGAGGGGGGAAGGAGGAGGAGGGGCGGGAGGAACAGGTGTAGGGAAGGAGGGCGGGGAACTGAATACGAACATCTACATGTTACAACGAAGCGAGAGTATATTAATACCCGTGCTCATGGAAATTCTGAAGCTACGCATACCATGGAGACAATGCATGGCATGGCAGTTCTGTGCAATCCACCATTGCAGCATGCCCAGAAACGTAAGCATGACATCGAAAGTTGAATACACATGAAAATCGCGCTGAATAGCTAGCTCTGCACATGACAGAAAAACGAAGCATAACGCCGAGACTGGGTACAACAGATGAGCGCGTAAAGCAACATATCAGGAGGGTGGCGCGAGAGCCCAAACTATGACAATGAATCAGGCCAGCAGTTGCTGGGAAGAGCATGGGGGCGAACAACGAACGCATCGCAATGCGAGAGGGAATATTGAAACATCTATAGACATCGACTTTCTGGGTCGTGCAAATCAAGGGAGGGGAACCCTGCGATCCGACGTTGCGACAAAAACTGCAACATCGCAGAATATCGAAACTGGAGCCCCCGACCCGACCATATTTCTGCGGCACGGATGTGTGATGGTCCCGGGACCCGAGACCTGGCGAAAACGCCCAGCGCGATAAGGCTGCAACGCCCAGATCCCCGGGGAAGGGAAGAGTGGCAGAGGCGGGTGGGGGAGGGGGGGCCGCGGATGTCTCCACAAGCCCTGCCCCTGGAGGGCGCGAGAGCTGCCGCTCCCGCGGACCCCCCCCCCCCCCAGTGGGAGCCGCACGTGTATGCCCTGAGGTACACGGGCCTTCGCGCCCGAAAACGTGTACAGATTCGTCGAGCGTCTCCCGCTCTTGAGCCTGCCCCGAAGGATGTCCACCATCCTGTGCGCGCTGGCAGAGGCGAACACCATACCAAGTGGGCGAGTAGAAGCGGGTCATTCCGCGAGAAGGCATGTCGACCTTACGCCGCGGCTTTCGCGGGCCGCCTGCACGGCACACCGCGTGGAGAAGAGTGCGCCTACGCGCGACCGCACGCGGGGAACTTGCGCGCGAATGTCGGCGCTGTCGACCTCGCTTTCTGCCGTCGCTCGAGTACCATGTGACGCAGAAGGCCATACTAGCACTATGTGTCCTCATTGGAGGTGTGCGTCCGACCAGATCATCTAGTACAGCAGTCTCACGGTATATCGCTACCCAGACGGTCTGGCCAGAAAACGCCCACCAATTATCACATACATGAAGACTTCTCAGCGCGCGCGTCGCCCCTGGGATACAGACGCACGCATCATATTAGTTTGCTTGGGCGATGCCGATTTTATTGGTCACGCCCCTGCCCCCCATCCCACCTCGTGGTGGAGGCCCTGGGGGCGCTGGACGCTGAGGAGGAAGGTGGCGTCGGAGGGCGCCGTCGGATCCCTCGCGGGGGCGGCGGGGAGATGCCCCCCTGCTCACTGCCTACCAGACCACCCCCACCCAACCCGAAGTCCCACATTTCGGGTTGAGGGTATACGGGTTCAAATTTTTCTTTGTCTCGAAAGTCCTGGAATACCCTTTCCTTTTCTGGCGAACTCCCGACGGTTCTTATTTATGTCTTCTTGCAATATTTCAAGATATGCTGTCCCCATGCGTGCTTATTCCCGTGCTCTACTTCACGACGGCCCCTGGACCGACAAGGCGTTGCGGAATGTGCCCCCGGTGGGAATGGACGGCGACATGGGGTCTTCGGGTTAGGTAAAAGTGGTTTGGAGTGTAGTGGCCCGCTGCTGCTGCTGCTGGTCTCCAGCAAATGGTTCATGGGTTGCCCACCCAAGCCTCCTCGCGCCGTGAAAAAGAACAGTAACTTTCGCGTCTGGGGGCCCTCGTCGGGCCCTGGGAGCGTCATAAACGACCGGGGGATAAAAACTGGTCCCCGGGAAGGGGGTCCAGACCAATTGGGGTCCCCGTCATTAAAAGATCATGACATTGGGGTGCGGGCAGATTTCCGGACATTTTCTGAGCCCGGGGTGCTTTCCAACAGCTGCGCCTTGCTGAGGGCATTCCAGGGGGGCCCGGATGGCCAAGAAACCAAGGCGGTGATGCAAACACGATGCGGGAGGTTTTCGCCATTCTCGGCCTCTGATGGCCTTCGCCAGGCTCCAGGGCCGTAAAAAATCAGGATGAAGACGGCCCTGGGGAAATGTCCGTACTGACGAAATCAAAGCACCAGAACTGTGGGTCCTCCGCGTGCTTACTCCTCGTCGCCCTCCCTCCCTTCATCTCTCTATCATCATCGCGGCCCCAAGCGGGCCCTTCCGTCCTACCAGGTAGCTGCTCGTCGCATCGATATGCTGTCTATGCTTTGATCGTCGACGCGGCGCTGAAGCACTGGTACGAGGCGCACGTCGCAAACGACCGACGAGGCGAAACGCAAGTCTCGCCCAAACGACGCGCTGGAGCGCGGCGTGCGTTTCGCCGTCCGCGGAAAAGCGACGTGTGGTTCCCCCCATCAGCATCGCGCAGCTCGTTCCTGAGAGTGGCGCTCCCGCTTGGGCGCGGCGCGCGCTCGTCGATCGCCGATCCTGTTGGGGGCCAGGTCTCGCTCCAACCCGCGTCTCTGGAGCCGTGGCCAGGCCAACAAGCTCGAAGGAGTCAGCAGGCCCTGGGCGCTTCCGCCCTCTCTCCGACAGTCTACGAGGCAACGCTGGCACAGCTGAGCTGGAAATCAGGACTGACGCGTGCTCCCATGCGAGCTCTGGACAAAGAAGCAACGCTATAAACGTAACACAAAGTGCGCTTCAAGGGCGCCTGCCTCGGGAACATTCGGCGGCGCGTTTGAAACGGCCCCGACCCCTCCCGAACATTCAGCGCCGCCGAACAGAACCAGGGGGTCTTCCCTTCTGCCCCCCCTCCCCACCCAGCTCCCCGAATACCCCCCCCCCCGGGCGCCACCTGTCAGCGCCGGCGGTGGCGACGCGGCGACGATGACCAGGACGAAGACGATGGCGACGACAAGGTCCTTGTAATGCTCTGCCCTCGGCCCTAAGTGCCGCATTGACGGGCCCAGCCTTCAAATATAAATATACTTCGCGATGCGTCGCGTGCCTCCCGCGCTTTCCGTCGTCGTCCTCGGCACCGTCGTAGTCGTCGTCGTCGTCGTCGTCGTCGTCGTCGTCGTCGTCGTCGTCGTCGTCGTCGTCGTCGTCGTCGTCGTCGTAATCGTCGTCGTCGTCGTCGTCGTCGCCGTTGTCGTCGTCGTCGTCGTCATCGTCGTCGTCGTCGCCACCGTCTTCGTCGTGCTTGTCGCCGTCGTCGCCGTCGTCGTTGTCGCCATACTCGTAGCCGTCGTCGTCATGCTCGTCTTCGTCGTGGTCGCCATCGTCGCCGTCGTCGCTGTCGTCGCGGTCGTCGTCATCGTCGTCGCCGTCGTCGCCGTCGTCGTCGTCGTCGTCGTCGACGTCGTCGTCAACGTCGTCGTCGTCGTCGTCGCCGTCGTCGTCGTCGTCGTCGTCGTCGTCGTCGTCGTCGCCGTCGTCGTCGTCCTGTCGTCGTCGTCGTCGTGCTCGTCGCCGTCGTCGCCGTCGTTGTCGTTGTCGTCGTCGTCGTCGTCGTCGTCGTGGTGGTCGTCTCCGTGCTTGTCGTCGTCGCCGTCGTCGCCGTCGTCGTCGTCGTCGCCGTCGTCGTCGTCGTCGTCCCCAACTTTGTCGCAATCGTCGTCGTCGTCGTCGTCGTCGTGCTCGTCGTCGTCGTCATCGTCGTCATCGTTGTCGTCGTCTTTGTCGTCAACGTCGACGTCGTCGTCGCCATCGTGGTCGTCGTGCCTTGTCGTCGTCGTCGCCGTCGTCGTCGCTGTCGTCGTCGTCGTGCTCGTCGGCGTCGTCGGCGTCGTCGCCGTCGTCGTCGTCGTCGTCGTCGTGGCTGTCGTCGTTCGTCGTGCTCGTGGTTGTTGTCGCCGTCGCCGTCGTCGTCGTCGTCCTCGTCGTCGTCGGCGCCGTCGTCGCCGCCGTCGCCGCCAGCCGGCTCTGGCGCCGGCGCCGGACTGGAGGAAGGGAGGGGGGCGGCCGAACCCCCCCTCCCCTCTTCTTGAATCGTCGTCTCGTCGACGCTCCCCACCGCCGCCGACAGCTGGCGCGTGGCGCTGGCGCCGGCTCAGGAGGGGCAGGGGGCCGCCGCCGGCGCCAGCGCAGGCCCGCGGTGGGGTGGGGGGGCGTTCGAACCCCCCATCGGTCTGGGGGGGGGGTTCGAACCGCTCCCCCCTCAAACCTGGAGGGGGGAGGGCCCGGTTCCGGACCCCCCCCTCCAAACGCCCACAGAACGCGCATTTCTGAACACAAACTGTTAGAGAACCGCGGGGATTTCTGGGATCTGCTCTCTGTACCCCCCTCCCTGGCGGTGCCTCAGGCGCTCAGGGCAGCGCCCGCGCGGAGCTCACAAAATTCATGTTTACGCAACTATTCTTCGACTCTCGCGCCCCTCCGTGGCCGAGGCTGGCGAAACCTGGGACCCAGGCCATTTGCAGAGCATCGAAAGCGTCGTCATCGAAGTCGAAGTCGTCATCGAAGTCGAAATCGAAGTCGTGTTCGTCGTTGTCGTCGTCGTCGTCGTTCTCCCCCTCCTCCCTCTCCCCCTCCTGCTCTTTCCCCCCTCTACGGGCCCCTCTGAAAGACGGGGGCGCCTCCTGTGGGGCGGCTCGCATGGAGGTGGCTCGGAGCGGCAGCGGGCGTTCTTGCGTGGCACCTGTTCAGTGTGCCCGCATCCCCTTTCTCCACAAGACGGCTGGCTGAGGCGGAGCCGCGCCAGGTGAGCCCCAGCAGCAGACAACGCTGTCCCCACCTCGCATCCCCCTCGCCCGCCCTCGCCCCCCACGCCCTCCGGCCGCCGCCCCGCTGTCCCCATGGCGTGCGGCCGCCCCACCATGCCCTCACTCCCCTCGTTGTCCACCCCGCTCTCCCTCCGAGGCAACGCAGCGACTTGCACGACGTGGACCTCCGAGGCAACGCAACGACTTTCACGACGTAGACTCCCCGAAATCTCGAGGACTTCCCGCATCGGCGCTGGATCCCCTTTCCTGGGCGCGCGGAGTGCGCCTGGGCCGGCGCCGGGAATGCCGTCGGGGGGCCCAACGCCGACCCAAGAGATCCGCGCGGAACTCCGAGAGTTTCTGTCTACTCCGCGCGTTGCCCTGCGATGGAGATCATTGCTGTTATCACCAATACTATTATTGTTTTTCTATGACTACTATCACTAACACTAGAGTGTTATTGCTATCACAATTACTGTTACATATTATGGGGATGCTCGTCGCTCATGAACATAATCGACAAACAACAGCGCTTTGCGCGTCCGTTCCGTCTTATGTTACAGCGTTGCTGACGCCAGCAGTCCGAGAGACTACCCCAACAAACGCTTTGGGGTAAATTCGAAGTCGTGACCAGCCAATGGTGGGCCCTGGAAGGAGAGCAACAACAACTAAAGGAAGATAGCACGCAACCAGTCCAAGAATTTGCCAAAACAATGTTTTAGTCGACCCGCGCGCTCATGAAGGAGGGCTGGCTGATGGACAACATCCTGCACTTCTTATGCTGATGTTGGTGAGCACCCTCCCGCGCACCCAATCAAATATTGGAGGGCTGCGCCACGATGTGTCGATCCGCCGACTGGCCAAAAAACTGCGCCCTGCTGGCCATGCCAAGCAACATTGAATCGGGGGCAGGGGGGCGCGTTGAACTTTGAGCGGGCCGTGCGGGCCGTGCTGGATTTTGTCCATCAGCCAGCGGGCCAGAACAACGTGTTAGTCGATCCCCGCGCTCTCGTGGACGCGCTAGCCCGGGTCAGCCCAAACCCAGGTCGGCCCTGTCGCGAAGCCCGGCCAGCCGCTCAGTAGCCCACAGGCCCAAGCCAGCGGAGGGCGGACAGAGGGAGTCGGCACCACGTGGCTCCGAAACCTGGGCCCGCCAGAGCGGCTTGGCTGACCCCCGTAGGCGCGGACCCCCGCTGCGTGAGCCCCGAGCTTTGGAGTCCCGAAACGGTGCGGTGACTTCGAAGCCCCCCAAGACCTCACCGCACGGTCCGCCACCGCACGGTCTTGGGACCCTGGAGGCCCCTGTCGCCCCATACATCCTCGGAGAACGACCCCAGTCCCAAAACCGTGCGGTGAGCCCGAATCCCCACCGACTCACCGCACGGTGTGGTCACCACCCCGTCTGGGGACCCCCGACCGAGCGCTCGTGAAGGGAAGGTGGGCCGGCAGGGCTGCTTCCGCCCCGCCGCCGCCTCGCGGCCTGGCCATCGCCGCCGCCCAGCGCGCCCCGCCCGCCGCGCCCGACGGCCCGCGCGAGCCCGCCGACGGCCACCAGCGCGACGCCGCAGAGCCCCGCCACGACGGCCACGCGGCTCCTTCCAGGACCAAGGCAATGCATAGGGGAACGAAGGATGGCATAAACATGACAACTCGGAGGTCCGCGCGGATTTCTCGGATCGGCGCTGGACCCCCTCCCTGGCGCGCGGAGCGCGCCAGGGGCGGCGCCAGAGGCGCCGCCAGGGGGCCCCAGCGCCGATCCGAGAAATCCGCGCGCACCTCCGAGTTGTTATGTTCATGTCATCTTCGTTCCAAGAGCGTGTTCTACCGCTGCTGGCGGAAAACCGGGGGGGGTCACTACCGGTTCGAACCCCTCCCCCCTCCCCCCCTCCGAAAAACCGGGGGGGGGGGTCACTACCGATTCGAACCCCCCCCCCCAGTCCATCATGAAAAGGACGGGGGGGTCACTACCGGTTCGATCCCCCCCCCGCCCCCCCTTCGAAAACCGAAAACCGGGGGCGTCACTACCGGTTCGAACCCCCCCCCCTCGAAAACCGGGGGGGGTGCGGACAGTGGTGGGGACTGTGGTGGTGGGGACAGTGGTGAGGGGACAGCAGGACAGTGGTGGGGACAGTGGGATGGTGGTGGGGACGGTGGTAGTGGGGACAGTGGTGAGGACAATGGTGGGAACAGTGGGGACAGTGGGACAGTGGTGGGGACGGTGGTGGTGGGGACAGTGGTGTGGGGACAGTGGGAATGTGGTGGAAACAGTGGGACAGTGGAGGGTACAGTGGTGGTGGGGACAGTGGTGAAGGCGGTGGCGAGGACGGCGGTGGGACAATGGGACAGAGGTACAGTGGGGACAGTGGTGGGGACAGTGGGGACAGTGGTGGGAACAGTGGGACAGCTCAGTGGGACAGCGGAGGAGTCAGTGGGACAGTGGGGACAGTGGGGATAGTCGGGCAGTGGTTGGGGCCGTGGAGAAAGTGGGGGGAGTGGAATCGTGGTGGGAACAGTGGTGGGGACAATCGGGACAGTGCGACAGTGGTAGGGACGGTGGTGGAACCAGTGGGGACAGTGGTGGTGAGGACAGTGGTGCTGGGAACAAGTGGGGGATGTGGTGCGGAGGGTGGTAGGGACTGGGAGTCGTTTGCTGGCGGTGCGGAGGGGGGTGGGGACGGGTTCGAGCCGGTGATGTCCCCCCTCCTTCGGTTTTCGAGGGGGGGGGGGGGGGTTCGAACCGGTAGTGACCCCCTCCAGTTTTCGATGAGGGGGGGGGGGGGTAGGGGAGGGGGGTTTTGGCCGGGGGAGGGGAAGGGGGGGGGGGGGGGGTCCAGCAGGGGGGGGGGGGGGGATTTTCGGAGGGGGGGGGGGGAACATCCGGGTTCCGGAGGAAGAGGGGGGGGGGCAATTTTCCACAGTGAAGCGGCGGCGGATAACGCTCTCTCCCTTATGAAGAGGGCGCCCGGCCTTTGTCCGCGTCGTGGAAAAATCAGACCGGAAGTCTTTCGTCGATTTCGGCCTCCGGGAGGCCTCGCCGGGTGTCGGGGCCGAGCAGCAAAAAGACTCGGGGTGAAAAGCGGGCCCTGGGGAACGGGGTCGCGAGTGCTGCGGGCCGCGCGCTGCAAAAACAGGACATCGGATGTCTGGGGTGCCCCCCAAAGAACATTCGCTCGATGTGGTTTCGCGCCGCGCTCGCGACATCTGCTCGACTCGAGGCAGCGCTAGCTCCAGCTGGTGGCGCGCGGGCCGCAGGGTCGTTCTGTCGGCCTGCTCGTCACACTCACTGCATTCGCGCGCGGACAAGTCACGCCGATAATCGCATCCAAAGAAAGCACGACTACGCGGTGGATCGCTTCCTCGCAAAAGCTCGCAGGCGCCATCCTTAGTCGTTCTGCGAGCGGCGCCTCGAGGACAATAAAGGAGGATGAGGAGGAGGGCGGGAGGGGGGATGAACGAACGAACGACGCCTCTGGTGCGTGGCTGAGTTAAGTACACTAGCGGCGCACGAGGATCGGCCTTTGCAGCCGAAGACTTCGGGACGCGCCTGCTGGACAAGGAAGGAGGATGATGATGATGATGATGATGATGAGGAGGAGGAGGAGGAGGAGGAGGAGGAGGAGGAGGACGAGGCAACTTCTCATAGGTTTCGTAAACTCGTTTTCAGGCCGATGCACGGGCCACAGCGCCGGATCAGCCCGGATTTAGTCCAGCGTCCATCCGGATCTAGCTGAACAGGTGTCAGCGAGGGATGAGGCGGGGCAGGGTCAGACTAGGGCAGTCTTCGACCGCGGCAACGCCACCTTCGATGCTGAATCGAACATTCCATGAGCTGCAAATGGAGGAAGAGGATGAGAGGGAGGATCGAAGATCGGGGGTTTGGGACGTCCATACCATCCCTGGGGGAGGGGGGGTCCTGGAAGCCTGTCGTCGCCGACGCACGCTTCGGCTCCTTCTGGGTGCCAAGCTTGGCCTTCGACTCTTGAGTGCCGAGGGGGGGGGGACCTCTTTGTGCCTCCTAACGCAAAGGCTTCCTCCTCCTGCGCTGCACTGAAAGCGCGGCCGCCGCGCGCGCTCTCTGTCTTGGCGCCGCTGCGGCCAGGCACCAAGTGATGAGGCGTGGGGGGGGGATCTGCGCGCCGAGGCCTCGGGGCTGGCGCGAGCTTGGAGCGACCTTGGCTCTCGTCGGACATCCCGAGGCCTCTGGCATCCGCGGGCTTCCTGTGTGGTCCGGACATCCGGGGCGGGAGCAGCACGCAACACCTGCAGAGCGCGGGGCACGGCCTGCCAGCCTCGTCCGCAGGCCGTGCCCCTTGCAGCCGCTCATGAGCAGGCCGAGCCCCCACTCGATGATCATCGGAACGCGTGTTAGCGCCAACGCGTGCGCTTCCACCGAAACCCTGCAATACGACGCATGCGGTGTCACGAGGGCCGACCAAAGCTGCGCCCTCTCGGCGAAGCTGGGCGAGGGAAAACGAGCATCGGGCGAACGCGCGTCCTGAGGATCATCGACCCACTCGGGGCGCGGGGCTGCCGAGGAAGATGGGGATGTGTTCGAGCTGGGCAGCCAGACGTGGGCCAGGGGCGGCCACGGAGGCGCCGCCAGGGCGCTCCAGCGCAGATCCGAGACATCCGCGGGGACGGTCGAAAGCTGAGGTGTATGCAAATGTTGCCTCCGTCGGACCCCTCTATTCGAGCCCGCCCCCTTCTGACCTCGCCTTCGGGGCAGCACTGGCGGCACCAAAGAGCGGGGCGACCCTGCACCACTCCCGGCCCCGCCGGCAGCCGCTGCCCCGTCGTCATCTGCGCCTGCGGCAGCCTCCGGGCCTGTGGGCGTAGGGGGAGCCGACAAGCACCACCACCGGAGGCAGGAAGAATGGCAACAACACTCGCTTTCGGAGGTCCGCGCGGATTCCTTGGATCGGCGCCTGGCCCCCGGGGGCAAGAGAAAGACTCGGCCAAGCGAAACTCGACCAGGCTGAACTCGGCCAACTGAACTCGGCCAGGCTCGCCTCGGCCCCGGCCGAATGCACCCTGGCCCAGTTCAGCAAGGCCAAAGGCAGCCTGGCCGAGTTCTGTCAGGCCGGGTTCAGCTGGCCAAGGTCAACCAGGCCAAGTTTGTCCTACTCGAGTTCATTTGCTGCCCTCCTGGCGGCGCCCCCGGCGTCGATCCCCAAAGTCTATGTTTATGCCTTTCGCGCTCCCTGCAAGGAGGGCAAAGGGCCCCGTGGAAGCCTCCGAGCCTTTCCGCGAGGCCCCATGCTTTCCCAGGAGGCCGCCCACCCTCGACCCACACCCCTCTGCCGCGCCGCGCCACCGGCACTCCTGCGCAACCGCGCGAGGTCACGATCCAAGAGATCCGCGGGGGGGCCCAGCGCCCGTGCAAGAAATCCGCGCGGGCCTCCGGAAGCTTCTGCTTATGGAGTTCTCTCCTCTTCTTACCACCGGGAGGAGCTGGGGAGGGTCCCCAGGGGTGGCGTGCCCACCCCCTTTCTGCGAAGAGTCACCTCCAGACTCCAGCTCGCAGGGGCATCGTGGATAACACTCGCTGGAGGTGACCGCAGAAACTCTTTCATTGACCGCCCCAAGAGGCCAAAATTGTTTATTTTACGAAGGTTTTGGATACATTTTGCCTTTCCCGTCTTTTCAGCTTTCCGACGCTCCACGGCGGCTCAAAGACCCCCCGCGGACGCCCCAAGACAGCCCAAGAGGCCTCCAAGAGGGCCTCAAGACGGCTCTGGAGGGCCCCAAGACGGCCCAAGACGCGCCCAAGACGGGCGAAGAGAGGCCCAAGACGGCCCCAAGAGGGCCCCAAGAGGGGAACCGCGAACCGGAAATTCGAGCCTCCCGCCTCCACAGGGCCCCGGGAGGTCCCAACGGGGCCCCAAGAGGCCCCAGGAGACCCCCAAGAGGCACCCAGGAGGCCCAAACGAGGCTTCAAGAGGCTCCCACACAGCCCCGAGGAACCACGACGGCTCAAAGGCCCCCCGCGGACGCCCCAAGACAGCCCAAGAGGCCTCCAAGAGGGCCTCAAGACGGCTCTGGAGGGCCCCAAGACGGCCCAAGACGCGCCCAAGACGGGCGAAGAAAGGCCCAAGACGCCCCCAAGAAGGCCCCAAGAAGGCCCCAAGAGGGGAACCGCGAACCGGAAATTCGAGCCTCCCGCCTCCACAGGGCCCCGGGAGGCCCCAAAGAGGCCCCAAGAGGCCCTAGCGCCCCGGCGGACAGCAATCCCGGCGGCCCCAGACGGTCTCGAGACACCGTCAAGACGCCGTCCAGGGGTCTCTGGCGACGCACGATGCCTCTTTTGAACTGCCCTGGAGGCCCCAAGACGCCCCAAGAGGCTTTTAAGATGCCGCCCAAGAGCGCCCCGAGAGGAAAATATTGTTGATTTTGATGTGTGTTTTCTTCCTCAATGTTTTTTTTGCATTCTGGCTGTTTCGTATTTCCGGCGCTAAAGCGCCGCCAAGAGGCTCCCAAAACCGCTCCACGACGGCACAAGAGGCCCCCAAGAGAGCCCCAAGACGGCCCGAGAGAGCCCCGAGACGGCCCCAGAGCCGCCAAAAACAGTGCAAAAGGGTCCCAAGAAGGCCCCAAAAGAGGCCCAAGAGAGGGAGCGCGAACCGAAAAATCAAGCTCTCCGCCCCAAGATGCCCCCAAGAGGCCCCAAGAGGCCCCCAAGAAGCCCCAAAGAGGCTGTGAGCGGCCCCAAGACGGCACCCAAAAGGCTTCAAAACTCTTTCTAAGAGGCCCCCGAAGACATGCCAAGAAGGTCCCATGACGACTTCAAGAAGCAGTCCAGGATGCTCCGAGGAGGCCCAAAGAAGCTCTTCAGAACCATCGCGCGCGCTTCGCGCGCGCTCAGGTTCTAGCCCAGGCCAGGGGCGCGCTTGATGATCTTGGACAGCGCTATCAAGCACAGGCGCGTGACATAGTCGTGCCTCCTGAGGGCCTCTTGGAAACCTCTTGGGTCTTCGTCGGGGCATCTGAAGGGCTTCTGGGGGGCCCTCCATGCTTCCTCAATTGGCTGTTGCAGGCACATCTTGGGTGCTTCTCGGGGGGCATCTTGGGGCTTCTTGGGGTTCCTTGGGGGCATCGTCAGGGTTCTCCGGGCAGTCGGAAAGTGATGTTCTGCAGCCTGAAGCAGACAATTGGCCGTCTTGGCTGCGTAGAGGCCCGGCTTGAGGCCACATTGGGGCAATCCGGAAGCCTCCCAGGGCCTCCTTGAAGCAATTTTGATTGGCCCCGTGTACGTCTCCTGTGAGCCTTTTGTGGCCTGGTGGGGGGCTTTGGTGGGCCTCGTCGAACCACTTGGGGACTCTTGGGGCCTCCTGTGGGCCTCTCAGGGCGAAAGGCTCTGCTGTTGGGTTCACGCTCACCTTCTTGGGGCTCTCTTGGGGCCCTCTTAGGGCCCTCTCGGGCCGTCTTGGGCACCTCGGGCACCGTCTTGGGGCCCTCGTGGGCCGTCTTGGGGCCCTCTTGGAGGCCTCTGCAGTCTTGGGGGCCTCTTGGGCCGTCTTGGAGCGTCGGGAAGCCAAAAGGCTGGGAACTTTAAAATCCATCAAAAGCCGATGGGAAAACATTGCTTCTTGGAACCTCTTCGGCCTTCTGGGGAGCTTCTTGAGGGCCTCTTGGGTCCCATTTGGGGGCCTCTGGGGCTTCCTGAGAGCCTCTCGGGGTGGAAGGTTCGGATTTTCGGTTCGTCTTACCCCTCTTGGGCCCCCCTTGGGGCCGTATTGGTGCCCTCTCGGGATGTCTTGGGCCCTGTTGGAGGCCTCGTGGGCTATCTCGGATTGGTCTTGGAGGCCTTTTGGGCCGTCTTGGAGCGTCAGGACGCCAAAAGGCTGAAAACTCTAACATCAATCAAACACCTACGGCAAGACATGGATTTGTGCCTCTTGGGGCCTTCGTGGGAGGCCTCTTGGATACGCTTCGGCCCCCTGGGGGGGCTTCTTGGGGCCTCTTGGAGCCAGTTAGGGCTTCTCGGGGCCTCCTGAGAGCCTCTCGGGATGGAAGACTCGGATTTTCGGGTCGTGTCAACCCTCCATCTTGGGGCCGTGTTGGGGCCCTCTCGCTCCGCCTTGGACGCCTCTGGCGCCGTCTTGGGACCCCCGTGGGCTGTCTTGAGACCGTCTTCGAGGCCTCTGGGGATGCCTTGGAGCGGAAATTGAAGCCTTTTGGGCCGTCGTGGGGAGTCAGGAAACTCAAAAGGCGAGAACTCGAAAATCGATCAACAACCAAAGGAAAACAAATTAGTTGTGCCTCCTGGGGCTCCTTGGGAGCCATCTTGGAGACCTCTTGGGGCGTCTTGGAAGCCTCTTGGACAGTCAGGGACCAATTTTGGGGTGATCTCGGGCGGTCATTGGTCGTGTTCGTTGTCTGGAAACGCCATTTCTGGCAATCCAGGGCCGTCTTCTGGCGACTTTACAAGGCCCCCAGCGCCACGGCAGGGCCCCCGGGCCTCCCGGCGCGAGGGCCCCATCCCGGGCCCCACCTCGTGCCCGCGGCAGGGCGTCCCTGGGCCGTCTCGGCGCCCTCGTGGGCCGTCTCGGCGCCCTCGGGGGGTGTCTTGGACAATCAATGATTTTGGCGTCCCTTTGGGCCGTGTTGGAAGCCTTGTGGGCCGTCTGGGGGCCATCTTGGGCGCGTTCGAGCGATATGTCCTCGTTTCGGGGCCTCCTGGGGGCCTCTTGCGGCCCTTTTCGTTTGTCTTGGGGCTTTCTTGGGCCGTGTGGGGGCGGCCCTGGGCTGTCTCGGCGCCCTCTTGGAAGCCTGTTTGGGAGATATCTGGGTGTCCTGGACCGTCCTCCTTCAACGTCGGCGGCACTGACCGTAAGACTTCCTGGGAACATGATTTGTTGGGGTGTCGTTGGGCGCCTCCGGAGGCTTCGGACGCGTTTCCGAGCGTGGCGGCAGGTATCGCTGCTTGGGGCTCTCGTGTTTTTATCCTGGCGGGCGTTTAGGGAACATGGTTTGGGGAGAAGGCAGCAACCCGAGAATCATGTTCCCGGGAAGCTTTCCGGGAACATGATTTGTTCGGCTCTCCTAACAGGGGGGCCTCTGGGGGCTTACCGAGGTGCCCTTTTTGGCCTTGTCGGCGAGCCTATTGGAAACATGGTTGGGGCGGTGGACGGAAGCCCAAGGAATCATGTTCCCGGAAAGCTCTGGGAAATACGATTTACCGAAGTCTCTTGGGGGCCCGCAGCGGGCCTCCCTGGGGCCCCTGGGAACTCATTGGGGCTTCCGGGGGGCCTCTTGGGAGCCTCACGGGGCTTCTTGGGAGCCTCTTGATGGCCTCCGGGGGCGTCCTAGGAGCCTCCCAGGCTGGAGACCTTGAAATGTCGCGCTCTTCGGGCCCTCTTGGGTCGCTCTTGGGGCTCTCTTGGGGCGCTCCCGAAGCCCTGTTGAATTAACTGGGGAGCCTCCTGGGCCGTCTCTGGTCTTTCTTGGGAGCCTCTTCGTCCGTCTTGGAGCGATCTGAACGGCCTCTGACGCCGTCCGGGACCGTGGGGAGGCGGAACATGCGATAGCGCAAAAATGCAGGGCCCTGTGGAGGGGCCTCTGGAGGCGCTCTTGGGGCGTTTCGGCGGCGTCGTCGGCCGTCCTGAGGCCATCTTCGGCGTGTCCGGGGCCTCTTGAGGCTGTCTTGGCAAGCTTTAGGGCCCTCTTGGCGTGTCGTGGCGCGTTTGGGAGCGGACCTGGGCAGTCCCGGGAGCGCTGGGGGCTGTTGAATGCTAGGTGTTGTCTTGGAGGCGGAGGCTGTTGAGTGCAGGGTGGCGCGTGCTACGCGGAAGGCGGGCGAGCGGCCAGGCGGGCGGCGGGCGGGC